GGCCAGCAGCGACGAAATTGCTGCATTCACACCATTAGACGCACTGACTTCGCCACCCACATTTTGGAGGGGGGAAAGTGCGTCTTATGGTGCAAAAAATACGGTATTATCCATTTTCACCACATTAAGTAATTTTTCTCTTTTTGTACTGATATAATCATTGTTGCATCCCCCTAGGGTCCCTTGTTTGTTCTCCCCAAACACAGGTCCACCCTCAGGATGCATCGCCTCTTTTCGCACTGCCACCAGTTCACAATATACCAAATATGTCTCAGACATGTGCTGCCAATATAACAGGTTTATTGATCAGTAAGTTGGTATGTAAATCACAGATGTAAATCACAGTTGTTGAGGATCATTCATTAAATTGGATTTGCTTTGATTACACGTTTACTTGCATGTGTTTTTATTCACAGTAACCTCTTTAACAATATCCTTTAATCATCTATCTATTCTCTATTCCTTTTAACTCTTTCCTATTCTCTATAACACTCCAACTTTCCAATCTCTGTCTTAACTCTCTCAATTCAATGTCCTCACGCTCTCACTTCCATTCCCTATCTCTCTAACTGTCCCTCTAACTCCCCAACTGTCCCTCTAACTCCGCTCCTCGTGTCCTATCATAGGCTCCTGCACTTGAGCTCCATATGATGGACAGGAGTGACATGGGCATTCCGCCACAATCATATAGACTTCTTTTTCCCCTCCTCTAATACCTACGGCCTTCAGTTTTTCATGGTAAATATAATATGTCCACATCACTTTTTGAATGTAGTGTGTGATGCATGTTCATTCGTTTCTGTGTTTTTCTATCCAATTCTTCTATTTTATTTCGGGTTCGTTCTGTTATTCCAGCTGGTTATCTAGTTACTGACCATGTGTTTATGCTTTGATTGTATTTCCACCATTTAGTTTGATTTTAGGATTTTCTGCAGTCTTTGACAGTCTTTCTGTCAGTTCTTTAACTTTCATGTGCACCATGTTATGTGCCTCTGGAATTCCAAGGTATTTATAATTTTCATCACTTGATAGTGATTTTATAATATTACAAATTTTTAACTCTATTCCATCTAGTTTTTGGATCTTGCCATGGTGTATAAGAGCTGCACATTTATCAATTTTAATTTTCATTTGGCTATCTTCACTAAATATTCGCACCGTGTTTAGCAGTGATTCTATCTCCGTGGAACTTTTTGTATATACATAGTTTTAACTCATCCTTTCATAACAGGTGATTTTTTTCCCTATTTGTTCTGAAATATTGCAGCCCAATCCAGTTTTATTTAAAATTATTGACGTGGGGATTAGTGAGATGTTAAACAGCAGTGGTGACACAGAATCCTCTTGAAATATTCCTCTTATGATGTCATTGTACCCAATTTCTTCATCATAGGTCATTAAGATAGTTTCTATTTTTCCATGTTTTTCTTGAGGAGCCTGAATATTTTTACTAATCCCAATTTTTTAAGGTAAATGTTAATCCAGCTGTGTCGCAATGAGTCAAATGCTTTTTTATAGTCTATGCAGGCCGTGTTAAGATTTGGTTTTTGTCTTTTTGCATTCTTTATTACCATTTTATTAACAAGGAGCTGATCTTTCATGCCTCTTGACTTTTAAAAGTTCCCTTTCTGTTCAGTTGGGTACAGGGAGCTTTCATTTAAATAATTATATACTGATCTTGCAAGTACTCCTGCAAAGAGCTTGAACATTGTTGGAAGGCATGTAATTAGTCAATAATTACTGGGTTTATTGCTCTTTTGCTGACCTTTTAATATCCGAAATATGCAGCCTGTTGTCATCCAATTTTCACCTGTAGAATTTTGAAGTAAGTGTTTAAATTGCACTGCTATATGTTGATGGAGATTTGTTAAATGCTTTAGCCAATATCCATGCAGCTCATCTGGAGGTGACTTTAGTTTTTCACAGCCTTTATTTGCCTCTTAATCATTTCAGTTGTTATTACAACTCATCCTTGAGTTTCTTCACAAATGTCTTTAATCCACGAGGCATTTTTGTTATGGCTGGTTGGGCCTTCCCACATTTCTTTCCAGAATTTTAGAGCATAATCTTTACGCAGGCCTAATTGCTTTGCTCTGCATTTTCTCCTAGTGATTTTTGGAACAATTTTTGGATATTTTGAAATTGCGTGTTTCCTCTATATTGTTTCAAGCATCCATCATGTCTTGCAGTTCCTCTGTTGATATGTTTTCTTCCACTATTGTGTCTACCGCTACCCTCCATTTGTCTTTCATACTATGGTCATTGTGTTGTTTTGATTTTTCTTTTGCTACCTTTTCTAGTTCTGGATAATAAACCTTTTCTGGTCCATTTATTGTTGTTCAGTTATGTCACTACCTGGGTGTTTCCTTTTCCAAACTTCCATAATTCTTTTTTGAAAACCACAGGTTGTTGGGTTTGTTTTGTAATAACATTTCATAATTTCTCAATTTTCAATGGGAGTCCGAGTTTTGTGTTTATGTTGTTCCAGTAGTATTGCAGCAGCTGTCCTTGTTCCTCAACAGTGTCTGCTGAGCCTGTAACCCATTCATTACCAGATGTCCAGAGGCATCTGACACAGTCCTTGTTGACTCAGGCAACGACTGATCTGGTATGGATTTCAGTTTATTTCCTCTCATCATTAATGATGGATGGTGGACACAGGTAGTCTGGCTTTTTAGCTGAGACCTGCCTGGCTGGGGAGACCCTTCAGTAGAGCTCTAAACTTTACTGAGGTGTGCAAGCACCTCCACCTCAACAAGGCCTGTGCCCATGGAGGATTTAGTGGATAGAGTGATGGACTAGGACTCTGGAGAACAGGGTTCGAATTCCCATTAAGCCACGGAAACTTGTTGGAGGAGTAGAGCTCTAAAACCGCTCCTTAAATATCTCACTTACTGTACTCTGAAAGCCCTATTAGGGTTGTTGTAAGTTGGTTCTGACTTGACAGCATATGACATAAACACAAGGCAGATGTTCACCAGATCAAGCTTTCTTTGTGGTGGCATCCCATTTGTGCAACTCCAGCCACAGAAAGGTGACCTGGTTGTTGTTGTTGTTGTTGTCGTCGTCATCGTTGTCTGTAGGACACTAGACAGAGAAAATCTGCTGTAAAAGGACAATTTAGATGAACATTGTGATCTTCCCAGAGAACATCAAAAGCTTCCAAAATCTGATATTGTGCAGAAAGGGGTGGAGGTGACCTTCTTTCCACAAGCTGTGTCTACACCACAAATAAAGTGGCCACTGCATAAAATGAAAATCAGCATGGCTTAAACACAGATCATATTTAAACAAGGATAAACAGCATTCAACAGCAGACACCCTCGTTGAAGTAGCAGGTGGTTTTGGAAGGGGGATGAGGGCGAAGAGGTGTGTGCAGATTGTGAAAGCAATGTTAACTTACAAAGCATGACAAATGGTTTCTAGAACTAACTGTGGCTTGTCCAGATGCCAGCTCAACCCGAAACAACCAAGGTTCAGCTGCGCTGGAAAAAAAGAGGGTATTTTCTAAACAAGAGATCCATCCAGTTTCGCAAATGCCTGTCTAATACTGGTCACGGATGGTTAAGTCAAACTTTTTCAACAAGACAAAGTTAGCCCACTAGGTAAGCTGCTAAACTTCCTGGTCTTGTTGCTTACTTTGTACTGTGAAAACAGAAAGGAGGAGACCTGTTGTCAGGCACCTGGCAACAGGCCTGGATCTGCAGCCGGTGGGCTGTGGGAGAAAGGTTGTACAGGTCTGTCTCTGTGGCGTGACTGATTTCTGCTTACGAAAACGGCTCCTCAAAAGCTGTGGGCAATTTCAAGCTCCCTTCTTTTGTTCACTGAAATGGCTGCCATCACCGATCACAAGCAGAACCCCCTCACAAAAACAGAGGGTTTAATTGGGAGAACAATCTCTTTTTCTCTCCCTTCACATCATTCTGGTGTCTGCATTTGTGTCCTTCCATGCCTCTTTGGTCTCATTATTGCTAATATGTACATGTACATTTATATGCTCCAAAAACATGAGTATTGGATGAGTCTCTCCCTAAAAATGGATCAATACCATCTTGAGTAAGTGTCAGATTTTTTTTTTACAAAAAAGGCCCTGATGGGAAGAGGCCACAGAGTTTATAAAACATTTATGCTAATGGCTGTTGTGTTAATATCCACAGTCTATTAATTTTAGAACCAAAAGACAACTACTTGCTTGCTAAAATTAAATGCCGAAATGGTTTGTGAAAATGTACCCCTCTCTTTTGGCGATTCATTGAAATGAAATGAAAGTGAAATCCTCTTCAGAGTGAAGAAAGGAAACACTGCCTTCACTCAGTTGTGGCTTCATGATTTTTCAGTCAAATAGCAAAATCTGGTTCCCTGTGTCAGTGGTTCCCAGCCTTGGATCCCCAGAGGTTCTTGGACTGGAACTCCCAGAAGCTTTCACCACCAGCTGGGCTGGCCAGGAGTTTTGGGAGTTGTAGTCCCAGCAGAACCCAATGTTGGGAGCCACTGTCCTATGTAACTATGTGATATCAATCAATCTATGCCCTGTAATCTTCTGGCTAGACTATTTCGGTGTGTGGCTTGTGAGTTTGCCTTTGAAAACCACTTGGAAACTAGTGTTAATACAAAATATGATTACCAAGCACCAAACTAGAGAATGAATATTGGCAGCATTGAAGACACTTATTTCACTGGTTCACAGTCCATTTTGGCTCACAAATTCAAAATGCTCCATACCCTTGGACGTGGGCATTTGAGGGAACATTGTCCCTCTGCCACTGTGTTCTCAGAGTCACTTCTCCAGGTTGCCAGTTTAAGCAGGATAACATAGCAGCTAGGGAGAGGGTCTTTTGGGCTGTGATGTCCTGCCTACGAAGTTTGTTTTCCATTATTATTATTATTATTATTATTATTATTATTATTATTATTATTATTATTATTATTATTATTATTATTATTATTATTATTATTATTACTACTACTACTACTACTACTACTACTACTACTACTACTACTACTACTATTACAAAAGACAAAAAAGTTCTTGGTTGTAAATTTCCCTAGAAATGTTCACTGAAATAAAATAAAAATTAAACCACATCGCCTCCGTTATTCCTAGCTGATTGGGACCAGTGAGGAAATTTCCCACACACACACAATTTAAAAACCTCTTTCATTAAGAGGTTTTTATGCTCTTAATGCTACATGATTGGGGAGGACGAAGCAGCTGCAAACAACATATGAACAACATATGCAAGATGGGTGTGGACATGTGTGAGAGAAACTTACTAATGAGTGAAAATGTGAGGCAAGCCCTACTGAAATCTATTGATACAGTGGAAAGCAGGCTAAGATGCAGTGGGGTCTTTTCTTTTCTTTTTAATTAACTGCTCAGCTGTAATAGAATATTTACTGACAAATTCAAGTCACAGAATGGAATCACTCAATGTGGACACACCTTAAGTGAAAAGGCTATTTTTTTGTGAGAAGAAGTTAGCTTCTTCATTACCAAACTATTGCTTTCCATCTGCTAACTGAACATTTGGACATAGTTGTGGAACTGCATCTGGAAGCCCTACCCTAGTGTCTTCAATAGGAGGTCTGGCAGGGGCATTTAAATCCAAAGATTTGTAGCTCTACTCAGATGTTCAATAACAGGGCTGTTCTGCACCCATGAACACAAAGAGCAGGCCAGCCTCCACGCCCTCCCTCCTAGCTCTCCCTTACGGGCAGTTAAATCTCTAAAAGGAAGAACCTGCTCTACCCAAAGGGGTTCTCCATGTGATTAGACACACTGAAACACCAGGGTTTCTAATTGGTGCAGATATGCTCAATGCTTAGAGACTGCTCTCCTTTTCAGATTCTTCGTCCCTCTGCAAGGGAGAGTTAGGACAGAGGTAGGTGGGTCCAGCCTGCTTCCTCTGCTCAAGAGTTGGTATTTAGCTTTTTGCTGAACACCTGAATAGGGCATGTGTGTATTTAGATTCTCCATGTGATTGGGAATTACAGTATTGGGCATATCCATACAATTAGAAACCAAGGGCTCTTAACTGCTGGGAGACAGATCAGGGCAGGACTAGAGGGTGCAACCTCTATCCCCTATTCTGGCTTTAATCAACAAATGGAAAAGTCTGAACAGGTCTATGTATGGACTTAGCATCCTGGGAACCAGTGTAAAAAGAAAGAGATTACTCTTGCTTATTCCTTCAGCAGAAATCAGGAACTCTTTCAAAAGCAGATGAGACAGTAAACTAGACAAGACCTTTCTCAGTTTTATTATTGTGGACTACTGGCCACGCTGAATTTTTATCAGATTTCAAGTCTAATGCAGCATTTGCTATTCTCTTCAGGGAAAATAAATCATTACTTTAAAGAAACAGGTTGTTGTTGTGTTTTTTTTTGCACAAAACAACAATAAAATGTGTGATCTCACTTGGAAAACGACATTGAGAAAAGAGAGTGAGGAATTCCCACGTTGCTATGCATTGCTCCATTTAAGGTAGCAACCCATCAGTCTATCTGGAATTGGTATTAGAAGCCATATGGACCATTGACAGAAAGAGGGAACATAGGCCATTCAAGTTAAATAATGTTTGTGAAAGCCAGATCAGAACTGAGAACGATATGGCCTCTGCTTGTCTATAAAGTTGCAGGGATTTGGGGACTCACGCTTTGTCACATGTCACCTCATTGAAACGGCATGAATAGATGAAACTTGCAAAGTCAGACTCATCTAGGTCCTTGGTGTCAGGCAGCCTGGACAGGATGTTGATGTAATGGAAACTGTACCACTCCCGCACAGCATCCACACCGGAAGAGTACATTTGTTGGAAGCAGTCTGTGTTGTTTTCATTACACTGTAAAGGAAATTAACCACATTAGGGGGGTTGCAAAGGGAGACTGGTGGGAAAGGGAGACATCCCTGCTTATAGGAGAAGTGGTGAGCAATTCACTCCATCTTAAGATTGTGACCAGGCAACCATCGTGAGATCTAGTCAGCTTTTCTAACCTCCTTTTCTCCACTACTGATATTTGTGGCATCTTCTTGTCTGAAGTTCTCAAAAGTCGGCCTCCAGTTTTGTGAATTTGGGGTTAGTCCTAGTAAAGATATTGTTTGAATAGTGGAGAAAAAGAGTTCTCTGGATGCTTGATGATGGTACCAGAAAATGCTCAAATATTGACAGACAGGAACAAGATTTTTAAGATATGCAGGAGTTCTATATTTTGCCTTTTATTACAGCTGAACTACAAACATATGCATTCATTCCCTCATCCCAAGGAATCCTGTAGTATAGTGCTATGAGGGACTATAGGACCTAATAGACAATAATTAGTACTTTAAATTATTGGCATCCTCAAATCTTTTCCACAGAACTATTTGGTGACCCCATGATACACTAATATGAAATGGATATAAACACTCAGTGTAGATATAATATGAGGAAACCAAAGATGATTAGCCAATAGATTATAAAAATGTTCATAAGTTATTTTCCAATAAGAAAAAGTATTTCAGTGGGAAAGGATATACTGTATGTTTTCCTTTTCACTCGAATGTTCAAAAATATCTGAGTATGTATCATTTGAAAACATCAGTATTTAACCCAGTTAAATAACATTATTGTTAGATAAAATTACTTCATTTAAGATCCAAGGCTTGTTATTTATCATAACTAAAGGGCACTGCTTATTTCATGGCACAAGAATCCCTTTGCAAGCAAATCAAGGGACATGTAACAATTACTTATACCCATTGCTGCTTGAATATGGGTGCCACTGAGGCCAGGAAGAACAGCTACAGATAAACCATGACACAAAGAGTAAACTCTTTAGCTGCTGAACCAGAAGGAGTTTTTTTTAAGCTTCTAATTTCCAAATTAGCTTGTGATTGGTCTTCAGGACTTAAGTATGGAATTCCTTTGAAATCTGATTTCTCAAATATGGAAGACTGTCCGCCTTCTCTCTCCCCAAGACTGAGGTCCCCATGGTAACCACAGGCCTAGTATAACATCTCTTTCAGACTTGAAATCAAAGTTCTCTCCATGACAGGGAGTCAGCAAAGGGCTGTCTTCTCAGGGTGCTTGCAGTAGCATAGAGGTAAGTCATTCAGATTGGGAAATATACAGAATTCACCAAATAATGCCATATTCAGATAGTTCTGAATACATCTGAATCCAAATTTGATAGTTCTGAAAGTCTATAATAATTCCTGACACTCAGAGTCCCATTGACTCCTACAGATTAGAAAGCAAAAAGGCTAGGGTTTCTTTTTGTGAGAGGAAGAAGTGAAAGTGAACCTATTTCTCAGGTATCCTGGAGTGATTTCTTGAGAAATGAAACTTAAAGACACGGTGGCACCAAAGGTAGTGGGGGGCAGAGTACTTAAGTGTCTCCTGAATGGGATTGCCATGGATTTCTCAAGGGAGGGAGGATGGAATGAGAGCAAAACGTATATTATTATATCTGCCTGCCCCAATGAAATTTAGAAGCAGAAACAGACACCAGGAGGTATTTTTTTTTCCACCTTGGTTCTTTCCAACTGAAAGTTGGGCATATAGCTGCTTATAAATCACCTGCTGTTAAGATATGCTCTGGTTTAAGCCTGGATTGCAGCAGTTTTCTCTGTGCCTTTTTCTGAAGCCTCAACTTATATTTACATTCTCTGTATCTCATTGTATAATGTTTACTTAACATATTTAGGAATAAGATTTAGGATTAGTTGGCTCATAGATTAACACATTATAAATCAATAGGGAAATATATTAGGTTTAGGACCTTTGGAGTATATCAAGCAGGGAAATAAGATTTTGTTATCTATAGACAGCTATTTTAAGTTAATATGCTGTCTGGATAGATGGAGTTAGGTATCTGGCTGCAGAGTCAGAAAATGGGAGTTCAGTTTCCCACTGTGCCTCGCTGAAGAGCCAGCCTGTGTGGCCTTGGGCAAGCTGCACACTCCCAGGGTGCTCCTAAAAAGGGGGAATAGAAAAACCACTTCTGAGTACTCTCTACCTAGAAAACCCTCAAAGGGGTTGCCGTAAGTCAGAATTAACTTGACGGCACTCAATTATTATATTAAGTTAATAGATCGTGTGTGTCTGTCAAGGGGGTGGCAGAATAGCCCCTGGTCCAAGGTGGGACAGATATGAGTGAACTTCAGACATGTTCCAGTGACATCTTTGTACAATCCAGCCAGGGCAAAGGGCCCAAAAGATGGTGAAGGTGACATTTTCCTTCCAAAAACCGGATATGCCAGAGAGCATATCTTAACAGCAAATGCTCAGGTGGCATCAGCACTCAAACTGACACGGTCAGCTGGGGTAGCGGTAGTTGTTGGGAAAGAGAATTATGAAGAGCACCTGACATTGCCCTCCATATCCATACCATGCAGCTCCACCATATTCAGGGTTTACCCACAATACCCCTTCCCAGAAAATCTCTTCTGTGCAAAGCAGCATCGTGATTGGTGAGAACTCCCTTTCAAGTATCTGCACATCTGGCATGGGATCATGGGGAGGAGGAGACTGAGGGGACTCAGACGGACACTTTTGCACAAGCAAGTGACACTGAAAGCACCCCTGCCGCTCCAGCTGCACTGGTCCCACCAGTTGCCGGAACCAGTAGCGAAGATGACAAGTTAGCAATCCCTGTTAGGAACATGCCAGTCAAAATCTGAAGCTCCCAAGAAGTCAGTGGAAGCATTTCCAGCGGTGTGCAACAGATGACTCTCATGGTTGAGTGCATGTAGTGCAAAAAAAGGTGCTCAAGTATAGGCAGGACTTGGGCCACCTCTCCAACAGGAGCATGCTCAGCCCCCTGAAGACTCAGCACAGGACATTGCTGCTAGCCAATGAAGTGAGTATTCGGAGGAGGGGGCAAGTACTCTTCTTGTGAAAGGTAAGAGCCCTCAGGGGGCACAGGTTGAGCCATCAGCCCATGGAAGCAGAGAGAGAGAGAGATGAGCAAATAGGAAGACGGGGGAGACTTACAGAATAAGTTCCAGGCTCCCCTGGATGAGCTTGGAGGAGTGCAGGAAAAGGCCTTCTGCAAATGTAAAAAATGCCAGAATTGCTTATCATTGAGGGATGATGATGGCCTGGATGAGCAACGGTTTACTCTGGTGGAGGACACTGGTTTCCAAAGGTTTGTGGCTGAACTGGCACCCTATTACCAATTGTCATCCTGAAACCCACCCCACCCCCTTAGCTGTATGATGGTGCAGATTTATATTGGAGTTTCAGGCAACTGATGCAGCAGCAGTTGGCCAGGGCACATAGTCGGGAGAGAAATCAACTGATACAGCAGCAGTTGGCCAGGGCACACAGTCAGGAGAGAAAAGCATGCCTATTTCTCCCTGGCAGGACAGTGGTGAGAGGTGGAGGCATCAAGCACAGGGCGACACAAAAGGGCAGGATACAGGTGAGCCTTGTTGAATGCGGCTGTGATGGAGGGCAGCCACTCAGCTCACAACACTTCAGAGGCTCTGAGGGCCACGCTGCAGCAGTAGAGTCTAGTTACAGAAAGGCAAGGCCTGTGGGTCACAGACAATGGGGCAAGTATGGTGGCAGCAATGAAGGCTGGGCAGATGAAAGAGGCAATGGTGTATGGCCCACACTCTCAGCTTAGTAGTTCAGGATGGACTGCAGGGTATGAAAGACACAGGCGCCCCTAATAGACCTCAGTGGGCCAGAAAGGTGGCAGAGCACTTTCACTACGATGTCTAGGGCAATGAGCTGTTACAAGCGGAAACAAGAAAAATCGGGATTGCCACTGTACCACCTAACCCAAGAGGGGGAAACTTGATGGAATTCCACTTTCTACCTGCTTGAAAGAGTGCTGGAGCAGCAAAGGGCACTCCAATCCCGCCTGGATCTGGATCCTAGCTCTTTAGATAAACTTGTTTTCCTTAAAGTCCATGGATGGGCTTCATGGAAGTCCCTTTACAATAAGAGAGCACGACACACTCTGTTCACAGGACTAGGTATGCCATGCTTCAGTCTGCTGTCCCCTCCTTCTGTCTCTTTCATTCTTCCCACTGCTGCTCACAGCTGAGTGCGATTGTGCTCACTCCCTCAACTGTGCCGTGCCCCATGCTTTTGGTACAGTTCCCACAGACCCACCACAGGTCTGTCTACCATCGCTGCTCAGGCTATTTGTCTACTTCCCAGTGGCCACCTGTCTTCTGCTTCCCCAATGCTGTTGGTATATCTTGCTGGCATTCCCACTGTTCAGGGTTCAATCGGTATGCCTGTTTCAGTCATTTCCTAATACCTAAGCACTGCTGATTGTTGGTGCACCCTCTATTTGTTAGACACAATCACTGGGAAAAGTGTCAGAAGACAGAGAGAAATCCTTTAAAAACTTTTTGTCTGTCTTTTTTAAAGGGGCAGGGGAAATAACATCTGTATAGTATTCATACTGACTGTTATGGAGTCCCAGTTAGCTGTAAATGCCAAATATTTAAAATTCAGAAGCCTGAATCTGAAGATCTGTAATTCTGAATCCTAAATTTGAATTCTGCATCTGAATGTTGGTGCTAGTGCACCCTAGTAATCATTGTTCAAACGTGTAATGGTAGTTTCCAATACAAGATCAGTTACAGTAATTTGTCTGTGGAGAAATGAACAGGATGATCTAATGAAAAACCGTCCAGCCACGAATAATCCTAGATTATGGAGTATGGGAAGAGAATTCCGTATCTGGTGTTTCTGAATTCTGCTAGAGCTAACATCAATGCTGGATTTCAAAACAATAGCAGGGAGAGAATCATATGAGAAAGGATAGGCTAAAAATGGGAAGGAGATACAGAAAGGGACCTGTTCTTACCAGGGTGAAGCCAATTTTCCAATCATCCTTTCCCACTTGGGGATTGTTGTTCTCCACACTGGCATGGCTGTCACGCTTGTGTCTGTGCAATGGGTGGCGCTGGACGTGATGGGAGAGGCTCCTATAGCTGCGTTTCTGAGATGACTGACCCATCGAGTTACTTTGCCCAAGGGACATATCGTATTTATACAGCTCCATCAGAGTCTGGTGGGTAATGTAATCCAGTTGTTCCAGATCTTTCTGAAGCGCACTATACCTAAAATAAAAAATAAAAAAATTGAGGGGTAGAATCCAGGGTCAGTGTTCCCACAATTACCTCTGGTGATGCAGTACAGCAGCAGTGGCTTATGGTTTGACCAGTTACTAATTTATGGCAGGTCTCTTGGTACGGGGATCCTTTGAAAGACTGATGAAGCAAGTGTACTAGAATTTCGAGCTTATTCAACAAGAAATTTATTTTTAAGCAGGAATCTATACCCCAGAATCACATAACATCGTGCTTTAATTGATAACACATCCTGGGCATTAACTCTTATTGTATGTAACACCGACAGAACACACATACTACATCCTGGGCATTAACTCTTATTGTATGTGTCTAAAACACCGACAGAACACACATACGTCAGGGTTTGAGGGGAAGGAGAGCATGCAAGATGGAAGTCAGCCCAACCTGGCAGTGTATTATCCCACAAGGCTTACCTATAAGGGTTGAGAGTACACAACGTGACAGCAGGGAAGGTAAGCCTATCAGAGTTGAGGTTCAAGTTCAAATTGACTGGGAAACTGAAGTATTCTCTATAGATAATTCCAAACTGCCAGTACATAAGGCCAAAGGTGAGGAAGAAGAGTACCGACCAGAAGGCGGTCTTCATCTTGTTCTTCTTAGAACAGACTAGACGGATGGCCCCGTGAATGGTCGTGTTGTTACAAAAAAACTGGAAGAGCTCTTGGTAGGAACTGAAGAACTCTAGGAGACCTTCACTTTTTTCATTTTTCTCCTCTTCCAACTCTGGCTCCATCTTCATCTTCTGTTCCTTTGCCTCCTGTTTGAAACACTCTATCTTCTTGCTTTCTGGCTGATTTTCAATATTCATGGTTATCACGAAAGCTGAAAAAGGGTATTCACAAATATTCAACATTTACCGTTGCCAGTTTTACCGTTAAACATCTCAAAGTGGAAGTCTGCATTCAAAATTAAAACTCACATTCCGAGTATAAAATTCTACCTCAGCAATAGGAAGGCCATTCAGCCCACTCCTCGGCTCGATTAGGCCGAAGTCGGTCCCACTAGCTTCTAAACAGATCATTTTGATGTTGATAGGTACGTTCAAACTTAACATGTAATACATGCAAACACTGTGTGGATGCTGGAAAGAAATTTGCAGCACCTTTTATAGCATAGGTTTGTATCTTGTTATTTTTAAGTGCTTACAGTCTAAGCATTGTAAAATACTGTTAGGTGTTCACTAATTGTCAAGGACTTATGAATTGGGGGGGGTGGGGGTGGGAATAGACAGCATGGCAGCTGTCAGAAGCCAAATATAAATATATGTCAATTGTCAGATGCTGTCAAATATCATACTTCGATTTCAACTTTTTTATTATTATTCCTCAGATCCTGCAGAGGAAGATGAGTCCTCTCCCTCTTCCTCCTCTGTCTCCCTTACAGTAGGCTCCTACCAGCTGAGTCTGGCCTCCGCCCGGGGTGGGGCTCAGCCACCCCTGGCATCTCCCTCCTACTGGGGCCTCCATTTCCTTCTCTGTGCCCTCCTGTCACCTGGCCGCTGGAGGTTTTTGTTGGCCCCTTAGGGGTCGCAGGGTGAGGGCACACACCGCTCACTGGGGAAGCCCAGAGCACCCTCCTCACAAGGTGCCACTGAAAGCCTTCCTGCATCAATCTATCGGTCGCCAAAGGTCTGTCTAAACCAAAATGTCTTTGGCTGCAGGCAGAAGGACAGTGGAGAGGGCAGCCTGGTCTCTTTTGGAGGGGAATTTCATAGTCTTGGTGGGAGCAGCCACCAAGAAGGCCCTTTCTCATGATGTTATCAAACACATCTGTGAGCATAGAGGAATAGAGGGAAAAGCCTACCCTATACTACTAATGACATTTTGGCTCCTCACTTGAAGGACATTCCCAGGATCCAGTACTCTCTGGTTGCTGTATAATAGCAAGTGCTCACATGAGAGGCATGTGCTTTTGTCTCCATCTATGGGCCCCCAAATCAGGATTACAGTAGGACCCCTGTATCTGTGTGGCAGAGCTTCCAAGCCCCCCCCCCGGATACCAGAAACAGTGGACAGCAGCAAACCATTAGCTACTGTCTATGTAGGGGAGGACGGTAGAAGGAGGTAAGTGTGTGTGGGCCAACACACTGTAGGCTGGGTTGCCACAGTGGCAATTACATCAACAGAAACTCGGGCTACTGGCTCTGTGGATATCAGGTATCCTACTGTATTTCAGTCCCCAAGAAACTCTCTCTCCGTGTACGCTAATACAAAGTAATTTTGCACACACACTTCTTTGTGTAGCATGTAAATCAGAACATAGGTAGCCTTAGTATTTCATGCTTTTCTGAATTTTGCAATGCAACTTGTGCTTCAGGACAGATTGGAAAATGCATTTGAGATTACATATTTTAGGATAGAATACATATACAAATATTTATTTTGAGATCTTCTTAAAATGTGTATCTCTAATTCTTTTAGTAAAAGTGTTTTTTTATCCCACCTTTCTCCTTCAAAAAGGAGGTAAGTGCATGTGGGCGAACACACTGTAGGCTGGGTTGCAACAGTGGCAATTGCATCAACAGAAACCCGGGCTATCGGCTCTGTGGATATCGGGTATCCTACTGTATTTCAGTCCCCTTTGTACCTACTTTACAAAGTACTGCCGTGTGGTGTAGTGGTTAAACTGCAGTACTGCAGCCAAAGCTCTGCTCATGACACAGGTTCAGTCCTAGGTAGTGGCTGGAGGTTCACTCAGTCTTCCATTCTTACCAGGTCAGTAAATTGAGGTACTGTGTAGCCTGCATAATTAAACTGTAAACCGCCCAGAGAGCGCTTTAAGCACTGTGAGGCAGTATATAAGCAGCACACTTTGCTTTTTTTGCTTTACTTTCATGTAAATGGGTTCAAAAGTACATATTTGAACACACATGTATGTCTCCATCCCCTCCTGTCATTTTGAATTTATGCATCAATGCTGAAGTAGGATGGAAGGGGTTTATGAATGAACCCATGGGAAAGTGACATGGGTAAGAATTAAGCTGACCACCCACCCAGAGAACAGGTTTCAAAGAGGCAGGTGTATTCATGTATTTCAAGCATGCTATCCTCCTTATGGCGCCTTTAAGACCAACAGATTTACTGTAGGGCAGGTATTCACGGATTACAATCTACTTCCTCAGCCACAGGACGTCTACCTTTTCCACGAAGCCTTCGGCTCAGCCCATTAGTCTTCCTTGTGTCTAACTAAGAGAACAAAAGAAAACAAAAGTAAACATGACTGCATTTGTTCCCATACAAGCTCAAATGCATGCAAGTGCATTTGCTGACCTCCCATGTCCCCTCCCCTCCCCCCCTTTTTTTTGCCCAAGGACTGTTCATTTTGCTAATGTTACACACCATGCACATTGTTGTGTGAATGATGGATGGTTATATATATCGAACAGCAGCAGGTAGAGGAAAATTCCACATCTGCTAATACTTGGATAAGGAAATACTTCCAAAAAAGCATGCTATAAAGAAATGTACAGCACTGTATGCACAACAATACACCTGCTTAACAAAGTAACACATCACGCTTTTTGTGATGCAGGGCTCTGCTTACATTCATGTATTTGGCTGTGTACTCATTCCTCAGATATATATTTAATGCTGGTCTCCAATCACTGCCTTGAAATGCTGCCAGAAAACAAGTGCTGCTTCAGATTATCTGAAAATTTACTTAGGGTTACATAATAGAATAGAAGGGTCATTTATCTCGACCAAAAATAATAATAAAGTCTTGCATTATTTTCATAAAGAAAGCAAGAAAGCACTTTTATCAAGCCTAGACAGGAAGAGCTCCCTTTACTGTGGTCTCTGTTTCCTAGGAATTAAGCCATGACATTGCTCCTATTCAGTTCTTTGCTCTCAGAAAGCATAAACCTATTCAGAATGTATCTAGTCACTCTTTTCATATTATTACAGATAATTTGGTCTTGAATGGGCAGTTAAGAGCCACAAGCTTTACAAAAGACCTGCTCTTAACTGGTTGGTAGAACTCATCCAATGGTCTGAACTTTGGACTCTTCTTATGACTGGGGACTAGCAGTGAGGATTGTTGTGAGGAGCACCTCCAAAATTTACCACTACACCACAGTGTGCAAGGCTTTAAAGGTCACCTTAAATTTGGCCCAGTATAAAACTGACAGCCATTGTAACTACTAGTCTAAAACTAGTATAAAATATGCTCCTGCTTTCCTGTACCATTCAGGAGATCTGCAGCAGCGTTCTGCATGAGATGAAGCTTCTCAGCAGCAGCTCCTCACAGAGAACAATGCGTAATCAGGCTGAAAGTTACAGAAGCATGGATGAACATGGTAAAATAATCCATGGCCTGAAAGTATTAGTGCTATAGCAAATCTGTTGACATTGATCTGGAAATTAATTCATCAACTGTAATCATTTAAAGGGCACATGTAAAATTAATTTATGTTAATCTTTAATTTAGGGTTGCATGAAGCATTATTAACCCAACAGTTCTAAAGGTTAACAAAAATTAAATAATTTTTATAATAATAAATTTCCCGCATTCCTTACTGGCATCACCTCTGCGGATCCCTTATATAAAGGTGGGTGCCATCCAAGCATTTATGACATTTGGCCTCAGTGTTAAACATGCTCACAATCAGCAGTTTTATAGAGTAAATGAACAGCACTGTTGATACCATGTGACCTTAAAGAACCCTACAGCACAACCCTCGTGATGATGACACAGCCTCTCCCTGTACCATGGGGAATCTTATAGGCTCCTTGAGTCCTCTGGAACAAAAAAGGGATGGATTGACTGGAATGTTTTGCCCCAGACACCTGCCAGATGTTCTTAGTGTGGTCCACATCATGAAAAGCAGTTGCTAAATTTAGCAGAAACGACACGGGAATATCCCCCTTGGTATAGTCCAGTAAGGGTGCCAACCTGAAAACAAAAGTCCCTTCTATGGCCATGTGGACAGATAAGGAAGGGGGAGAAGGGAACCCCTCTCACTATTCTACTCACTGTCACATAAAATCAAATGCTACCTCCCCCCTTTGTATACTTGGAGATGTCCAGGTTAGCTGTTGTGACACACACCTTGGTTACATCCTGCTTCGATTACTGTGACACACTCTATGCAGGGCTGCCTTTGAAAAGTGTTTGGAAACTTCATCTGGCTCAAAATGCTGCAGCTATCCTACTGCTAGGGTTGGTTACAGGTTGCAGATTAACAGTTCCATTGGCCCTCCATTTCCAGGGCCAATTCAAAGTGCTGGTTATATGACCTATATGACTTGGTCTATGCCATACCTGAAGGACCACATCACCTCACATGACCTTTCCCAGCTCCTAAGGTCTTCAGAGGAAGCTTTCCTCTCAGTCCCATTACTTTCACCGGCATGTCTGGTGGGAATGCAAAAGAGGGCCTTCTCTGTGGCTACTCCCAGGTTGTGGAAAGCCCTTCCTTAGGAGCCTCTTGCCTGTCCGGTGACAACTGAAGGCAATACTTTTTAAGAACTAAGTGGGAAGGGGGAAATTTTGATTTTGGGTGCTGCACATCATCATCATCATCATCATCATTTTATGTATGTTTGCATGTGCTTTTAAGGGGTTTCAAACTGTTTTAAAAACAAAGGTTTTAAATAATTGTTTTAGTACTAGTATATGTTTAATTGTTCTTTTGATGCAATAACTTATCATGATGTTAGTTGGCTTGTTTTCGTGAGCCACACTGGGTCCCTTCACTGGGGGAAAAGCAGCATAAAACTGCAGCCAGTCAATCCATCCATCCATCCATCCATCCATCCATCCATCCATCCATCCATCCATCCATCCATCAATAATCACCAGGATAGATCTGTGAACAATACATATGATTTCATTTGTTATGTTTCCTTCGTATAAGCCAAAAAGGAAACAGCTCCACACAGTGACAGAGGCATAGGGAATTGCAGTTGTTAAGCACTGGGCAGGGAAAAAATTAAAGAACTGCTCCTTCCTTCCAACTTCTCCGCCCCACTCACACCCAAAAAGCTGTTTTTAATTCATAATTTTTGCCTGTCATTTGGTAAACGAATGACTGCCAAATATAGAAATGGACTTTGATATTTTTTCTATACAAATTGATTGCACTGGCGTATACTATACAGCACTATATTACAGTATACTGGCCAAATTCTGTTGCTTAAGTAGTAAATCACACTAGAGTAAGCCTATTGAACCAAATGGGATTTGGTGAATCAACTCCTCCATGAGCTCCATTGATTCAAATGAGCCTACTCTAACTCAAATTACTATACTAAAGGAAGTCACAGTTAAAGTTAGAGCCCTCTATCTATGGAGGAGGCAACCCACCAAATGCCTCTGATTCGATGGGTCTACTCTAGCGTAACTACTCTAAGCAGCAGGATTTGGGCCAATACAATATAAATTGGCAAGAATCGCATTGCTAATCTCAATAAAGCTTGGTTGCACAATCAGGTGCCTGGCTAGTTATGTGACTCATGTCTCAGCACTTTTCAATGAATCACAATCACCTGCAGCAAGTTATGGAAATCTTCCAAGAACACCAATAGGATTCTGGTCATTATGATACGATGGCTGAAATTCTGTTGCATAACTCCACAGGCAGAATGGGAGTGATGTTATCAGGAACAGCAAATCACTGCTGACTGCATGTTTCCTTCAGCAATTTGTGGTGCATGAGATACGCTAATTTGCCACTGATGATGGCATCATTGCCAGTGCACATACAGAGGTGCATCACCCTCTTTCAGCCTATGTATACCACTTGGGTCCAGGCTATTTGAAGGATTGTGTCATTCCAGCTGAGCCTTCTAGGCTCTTAAGATCCTCCAGGGAGTTTCCACCGCCTTTCCAAGTTCATTTCAGCCTTCTCAGTGGTAGGTCCCAGGCTTTGGAAGCCAAATTGGCCCCTTCCCTCTTGTCTTTCCAGTTTCAGACAAGCTTTTAAACAATAAGAGTCTCGGAATACTTTGTTTATTTACTTACAATTTTGGAAAAATGTTTTAAAAAAATTTAATCTTGATTTTAATTTTGATATCTTTTAAATGTGATATTTATATTTTAAAACTATTGATTGTTTTATAGTTTTGGTTAGTGTGAGCAACTTTGAGTTCCTTATGGGGAGAGAGGCAGCATATAAATAAAACACATAGACAAATACATACATATATACACAATGTATATTGTAACACACACATACATACACACCCCTTCCTCTCTTCCTCTGGTGCTCTTTTTCCCCAAGTAACTCTAGTTAATTGTTTAAAAAAAAAATCAGGAGGCACAAAGAACACTGTTAATTTCCACCCCCACCCCCCCCAAGGAATGGCTATAAAAACAGTGTAACCCTGGGGGTTCGTGCAGAGAGCAGGACAGACGAGACTGACATTGAGAGACATCCTGTACTGTACTTCAGTATGTGATGTACCTTCATTCAAGTCTGGGGTGAGGGATGTCAAGAGGGTTTTTTTTTTCCTTCGAGAGGAACGTGGATGGCAGCTGTTTCAGCACCACAAGGGAAACAGACACGCTTCTAAAGGGCACGTATGCCCATCGTAGGGTAAGAAAGGACTGAACCTGCAAAGGATCCACCGACAAAAAAATAATGCCCGCTTTTTCACTTGCCCTGCTGTGCCTTAAAGAGCAGCTTGACGTTCCAGCATGTCAGCCGGTGACAGTCTCTTAGCGGGAACTTAAGTACCACTTGCTAAGCCTTTGTACACCTGGCCGCTGCTAAAAGCACTTGAGAAGGGCCAGTAAAGCCACAAAACACTTGGCAACCCTGTTTAGTTAGGGATTTGGAACGAAGGTTGTATTTGTCGTCCTAGTGGAAAATAACTGCCTTTTCCCTCCCCGGCTGGCTCCCCGGCGTCTTGCCCATGTGCTTCGCTCCTGCCTTCTGTCACTTCCAAGGATCTGCCCTTCCTCGCTCCCAGGGATACAATGCCCCATCTCCCTCTGCCCTGCCTTGGGAAAGAAATGGATTCAAAGCCACAAGAGACCCACCTCATGCATGTTGCCTGGGAGGATGCTTCTGCTGTGCTCCTTTCTCCCTGGAGGGGCTGCTCCCCCCCAGCAGGTGGCTGGGGTCTCCCCTCTAGTACAGCTGTTTCTTCTTCCTTCGCTGGCTTTTTTGGCCTGATCTCAGGAGGCTGTCCCTTGCCTTGCTGGCAGTTCCCTTGTCTTGATGGTTGGGATTAAACTGGTTCCCTTCCAGATCAATCTAGCAACTTGTCCTGCTCCTGCCCTCCCTGCCTCTCCCCGCCCATGAGAGAGGCTGGGATGAAAGAAGAGTCTCTGTAGCAGCAACAGCACCACCAGCAAAGCTGCAGCCGCAGCACCGTCTTTCCTCGTTAGACCCTAGCTAAGCGAAGAAAAAGTGGAGGGAAAGAGGAAGGCGGGAAAGTAGAAGAAGGGAGAGTAGGAGGAATGGAAGCACCCACTGCCTCACAGTACATTCAGGGGCGAAGGGAAGCATGCTCCATTGAATTAGAGTGACTACTTTGAGACTCTGATTTCTTGTTGTACGTTGCAGTCTCTATTTCTGCATCTCTTGCTCACTGATCTAACACATGCCTCTCTCTGTATGAATCTTAGCTGAGGGAATGGAAGAAAAATTCCTTTCAGTTCATGTTTATACCCCCCCCCCATTCCAAATATCTACATACCTGGAATTGGAAGAAATTAATAGTTTTTTTAAAAAGTCCAAATATTAAAGAAATCCAGATGAATAGATTCATCCATCCAGGCTCAGGTTTTCAATGCTTTTCAAAGTCTATGCCTGGGTACCTGTGTGTTCAACCATGTTTATGAGAAATTAGGGTTGCCACTTTTCCCCCCTAAGACATTCTTCATCTTTAACATGGAAGTACAACATGATCCCTTCCGTGCTGAAAACAGCTCTACCTATCGAGTTTGGCCAGTACTGATAGGTGGCTCAGTTATCTTTCTTTTAAATGCCATACTGTATTTAGGATGAAAAGTTTACAAAAATAAATGCAGAAGAAAGCAAAACTGGCATATTTTCCTCATTTAACTGCCTTGTTTTATGAGAGGATCGTTGTCCTTTAAATGAGGCAAAAAACAGATGTGAGGAGTAGCCTGTGACTAGAAAAGGGAAATTCTTAAGAAAATATAAGGAGAAGCTTCTCTCATTTCTGGAATGATGTAAATTAGCTTCCTTTTTTGGCTGATTTGTCATTGGGATTTAACTACAGGATTCCTGTGAAGTCTGATTCCACAATCACTTCAAGCTATCTCTAATATCTCTGACCATATCAACAATATTTTGCATTACAGGAGATATATGATAACTGTGTGTCGTCAAGTCATTTCTGATTTACGGAGATCCTTTCCAGGATTTTCTAGGTAGAGAATACTCATATGTGCCAGGCTAATGTAATCTCATTTTTTGATCAGGTAACCTCCCTGACATACAGAGGGAATGCTGTAGACATAGTATATCTTGACTTCAGCAAAGCTTTTGTTAAAGTGCCCCATGATATTCTGATTAGCAACCTAACTAGGTGTGGGCTGGATAGAACAACTGTCAGGCGGATACACAGTTGACTAGAGAATTGTACTCAGAGGGTGATGATTAATGCCTCCTTCTCAAATTGGGAGGAGATAACAAGTCGGTACCTCAGGACTCAGTCGTGGGCCCTGTGCACTTCAACATTTTTATTGGTGACCTGGATTGGGGGTGCAGGGACTGCTAATGAACTTTGTGGATGACACAAAATTGGGTGGAATAGCTAATACTCTGGAAGACAGAAACAAAATTCAAAATGATCTGTATAGCCTTGAGCACTGGGCTGAAAACAACAGAATGAAATTTGACAGGAGTAAGTGCAAAGTACTGCATCTAGGAGAAATAAACCAAACACACAGCTAGTTACAAGATGGGGGATGCTGGGCTCAGCAATACTACAAGGATCTTGGAGTCATTGAAGATCACAAGCTGAATATGAGCCAATAGTATGATGTGGCTAGAAAAAAAGACAAATGTTATTTTAGGCTAAATAACAGAAGTATACGAGTAGCCTCCAAATCTCATGAAGTACCAGTTCCTTCCTATTTGCTTCGGAAGGAGCGCGGGGGAGCCCTCCCTTGCGCTCCTTCCCAAGAGCTTGCCCGTCACCTGGCCGAAAAAGCCACGGGCGCTTCGGAAAGAGCGCAGGGGAGCCCTCCCCGGGGCTCCTTCCCAAGAGCCCGCCAGTCAGCTGGCTGAAAAAGCCACAGGTGCTTCAGAAGGAGTGTTCCTTCCTATTTGCTCATCTTGAGTATTGAGTCCAGTTCTGGACACCACACTTCAAGAAGGATGCTGACAAACTGGAACAAGTTCAGAGGAAAGCAACAAGGATGGTTGAAGGAGGGCTCGAAACCAAGCCCTGTGAGGAAAGACTGAAAGAACTGGGCGTGTTTAGTCTTGAGAAAAGAAGACGGAGGGTAGATTTGATAGCACTTTTCAAATACTTAAAAGGCTGTCATACAGAGGAGGGGCAGGATCTGCTCTTGATCATCCCAGAGTGCAGGACATGTAAAAATTAGCTCAAACTGCAGATTTCAGTTGAATATCAGGAAAAACCTCCTAATTGTTAGAGCAGTACAAGGATGGAACCAATTACTTCAAGGGGCGGTGAGTGCTCCAACACTGGAGACATTCAAAAGAAATTTAGACAACCACCTGGCAGATCTGCTTTGAGCAGGGGTTTGGCCTTATAGGCCCCTTCCAACTTCATTATTCTGTGATTCTATGATGCCCAGCCCTTCTTCTGAGGGTGCCTTGGGACTGTGCAGCTTGCCAGAGGCCACACAGACTGACATTGGAAGCACAGTGAGACATTGAATTCCCAGTCTCTGGCTTCACAGCCAGGAACCTACCTCACTGAGTTATCCAACTACAGGATAGGTTGCAACAATACCCTGTTCCTGGGAAAAGCCATTTGTTTCCCGGTTACTATGAGAATTGCAGCTAAGCTCAGATCCTGCTCAGAAAGTCCTAAAGTTTTGAGACACCAAGTTATGGCTTCACTGAGAGTGGGTATTAAGGTATGGTGATATATGAATATGGGGAGCGTGCAGCATGTGTCTGGATCTGGCATCAACTACATTTGGCTTTTGCCCTGCCCACTTTGGCTTTGGTCTTGCCCATTGCTGGGATATGGCCCAGGATATTTCCAACATGGAAAATGGCCCTCAGTGTGAAAAAGGTTACTTTGTGCAAGATCACGCTCTGTAAAAGTATTATAATGATTGGCGGTTGCATATGTCTCCAAAACAGGCAAAAGGAGGGGAGTGAATGAAGCAAAGTGGGAAGGTTCATGGGTGGGGGAGAGAACTAGAAGAGGTGCAGACAACCCTGCCCTTCACAACAGCTGAAATACGTTATTTCCACTCACACATCCTTTTGTTGTGATGTAACATATCAAACCTTTGAGTAAGTACAGATTTGACTGGTACAGATTTCAATGCAATAATGACAAATATACACACTGTCCCTTCATTTAATCCGATTTGTGACCGAACTGGAAAACCTGAATTAATGAAATGGATACTCATTGCTCAACCTCAACACTTCCTTTTTTTTTAAAGGAGGGGGAGGAAATTTGTAGTAATTATGGATTTATTCCAACCTTCCAGTTGCTGATAGGCACCTCCTGATAATACCAGGTAAACACCAGTACCATGAAATCCATGTCTCTCTTCATGTTCAGAGAAGTCTTCTAGCTTCCCAGTTCTGTTATTCAGTGAAGGCACTGATGGCAAGGCAATTCTTAGGCGCTCTTCCAGAAGCACACCTACTGCATCCAGATATTATGGGAGCACACCAAGTAGCCACTCCCAACATTCAAGTCACCTTCATGTCTACTTAGTACAGTGGGGTCTCGACTTACAAACAGTTCGACTTACACACTTTTCGACTTCTCCGTCTGCAAAATTCCATTTCGACTTGCAAACGGAGAATCGACGTACAAACCCCTGGGAGGCCTGGTCTACTGCCCGGGGAAAGTTTGGTAGACTGGGTCTCCCAGGAGAGGCGGTGGCGGCGGTGGTGGGGACCTCCGAGATGCCGCCATGGGAGGCATTTCGGAGCCCCCCCCCCCACCGCTGATAGTGGCTCTGAAGAATTGTGTGGGTCAGGCATTCTGGCTTGCAAAGACTGGACTAAGGTGTGACTTCCAGACTCTTGTCTCTGTGTTAAACATGCTTTAAAATTGGCTTCGTTG